CCCCCCCCCCCCCCAATACTCTGTGCCTGTATTACCTCGTATCCTCTATTCCTCGCTCATCCGGAAAACAAGGAGGGAACCGAGATAACCCCTCATCCTCTCTTAAACTGAAACTATTTGACACTGACAACCACCGGCTTATTAGTGGAGTGCGGGGTTTGACTACTCTTCTTCTGTCAGCACCCGCTCACGCTCACACGGACATCATCATCATCACCCGTCGGGCCCGACCGAATTCTTCTTCTGCTTCCCTCCTTGCACCCACACCCCACCTTTCCCCTTCTCTCCTCCCCACTCACTGGCAGGGAAAGCTTTCTGGTGTGGCCGAGGCCGTCATCGTCTTGCATTTCCTCCCCCTCTCCCTCTCTCTGAGCTGTATTACCTGTAAGCTCTCTCACCCCCCCTCCTCCCCCTCCCCTTCCTGAGACCTATCGAGGAGGGACAGGGAGAGAGAGAAACGAGAAAGATAGTCGGCCCTTTATCGTATGGATGTCCCGTAGTCCTCTTCCTTGGCGTCCAGTTTAAACCTGATGTACCCCTCACCCTCACCCTGATGATCCCCATGGGGGTGGGGGGCTGAACCTCTCAGGCTTCAATCTCATCATCGTGGCTAGAAGAAGCCGACACTTACAGTATGTGCATAGGTACCCCTCGTCACCTGGCAAATATCGTATGTTTCTCTACTCGGCATCGTCCATGGGTCGTTGCCGTCTCGGCTCCTCAACCAACAAGCCGAGATCGATTTAGCCAAGACAAGAAAAGAAAGAGAGAGAAAAACTATATATACTCGTATATATGCCGTAACCTGCCAGTTTCCAGAAACCATGGTCTCCTCCTACTCCTCCTCTTCATCCATCGCGTCTCTCAACTCGTCCTTGGCATCCTCCTCTTCCTCTGTAGCAGCTGAATCATCATCGTCCCCAACGATGCAGCTCCTCTCCACCGCCTTCCTGGTGGGATCTGCTCTCCTCCAGACCGTCCTCGGTCGTCCGGAGCGAGGCCCTGCCAGCCGCGCCAACATCCTCAAGAGGTCCGTCGATAGCTTCATCGAGTCCGAGACTCCCTACGCCTACGAGCGTCTCCTCTGCAACTTTGGTGCCGATGGATGTGCTGCTTCTGGCGCCTTGGCCGGTGTAGTCATCGCCTCTCCCTCCAAGAGCGACCCCGATTGTGAGTCCCCCCCCCCCC